TAAAATAGCTGTTGCTGGATCATTACCTAACTTCTGCGAGTAATTAGCTGCAGCGGACTTGTACTGTTGAAAAATATCTTCTGGAAATATGGGATCTTTTAAAAGCATGCCATTGTCTAGAGTGAGTATGTTGCCTTTTTGTTCCGAGAGTTGTACTGCGCTGCCAATCTTTAAACTTCTAATCAAAACAAAATCTCCTATCCGTTCGATTGGGTAGCTGCCTAACTTTTTCATCACCTCTTCATCATGTTTACTTGAACTCCAAACTATAACTGATTGTGGCCATTCACTAGGAACACATCTGCGCATAAAATAGTAGCACGTACTTTTTGTGATATTTAGTTCCAGTACTACAACTGGTCCCGTAATTTACCCGTCATATTTAATCATAGAGAAATGGGTATACTCTGCCGTTTCTGTGCGCATCCATGCATAATGAAAATTGTCAGACACAGCGGTTTTCCATGTACCGGGGCTAATTTCCTGTAATCCTCTGTAAGGTGATATTTTTGTGTTCATAGTCGAAAAACATTCTCCGTCTGGTACTGTTATTTTTGTGAACTCCATATTCTTAGTCTTTTGGTTATGGAAATTAGATTGACATTTGAGACTGACTTTTTCAGCGTAGCAATGATATAATGGTATAGTTGTGGTTTGAGGTCGATAGGATTCATTCAATGAGTACATGTTGTGAGTACAAGTAGTGATTGTTTTGAAGTTGATAAATTCCTATTGGTTGTACTCTTGTACAATCAAAAACTTCACCAATGTAGATAGCTGTCGTAACGGTTGGTAGAAGGAACATACTAGGAAAAAATAGGAAACATTATCTTTCTTACATCAACAAATGGCTGTGGCAATCGATTTCCCAGTCGTCTTTTATTATTTCATCTTTCTTATTTGGAACCACCCTGGTGGTTCCAAATAAGAAAGACAAAATAATAATTGCGGAAATTTCAAAAAATTTGAAGATACAGAAACGAAAATAAATTTCAAAAAATTATTGCGGAAATTTTTTGAAATTTTTTTTGTTTCTGTATCTTCAAATGTCACTTGTTTCTGACTATTATATTTGTTTTGAACAACTTTCTCTGGTACAATTTGATAGTTATTACTTGGAGCCTATTGATGGATGGGACACACAAGAACGGGTTGATGAG